CTTCACTTTACTTAACCCACTTCACACTAATCCAGTTCTTCACTTTACTTAACCCACTTCACACTAATCCAGTTCTCCACTTTACTTACCCCACTTCACACTATCCCAGTTCTCCACTTTAGTTACCCCAGTTCTTCACTTCACTTACCCCACTTCACACTAATCCATTTCTTCATTTCACTTACCAAGCAAACATCAAGTGAAACATATTTTCTGGATATTAGTTAATTATAAAAGGTTAATTTTAGCGATTCAAGTAGCTAGGGGTCCAAGGAAAAAAAAACTCCCTTGTGTTTTTGTGGAAATAAATTTACATTTGTATGTACTGTATGATCATATGTGCTATGTAGATATGATTTATCAATCTTTAAACCATATAATTTCCCTCTTTTTTTATATTTTTGAGGCATATGCTAATGCAAATTGAAAACAAATTCAACTACTTTCTAAAATATTCAGTAATTATAGAGTCGGGGAAGTAGAATATCCCATGTGCTTATCAACCGTTGTAACATTTCTCTGGGTCACAGGTTTGTATTGCTTTTTGTGAGCAAGTAGCTAATCTATAGCAATGAGATAGATTCTGTAAAAAAAAATTAAAAATCGGGATTACCTTACCTGTGCTTCTACACCAGTCATATTTAGAGTTCATATTGGATCTGTATATAAGATAATAATGTCCTCATATGATCCATATCTTTCTGGGGATGGTCACTGATGAAGATAAGAAGCTATCAGGGACTGCCATTTCCTCTAAAGTGAGAGGAGATTGGAGTTTTCTGGAGTTTGGAACGGGTATATGGCGACCATGCACCCAAAAAAACAGTGTTCATATGTGGTATTGAAAGTGTACAACATTTGTACCTGCTGGGAGTTTAATACTTCAGCCGCCAAGATTTGTATTGGCGGCATGATTTGTGTTATTTTTAAAATCTCTTGTACATAGGTAGTTGTAGAAGTGTGTTTTATCATTTTGTATGTTGCTGTGGTAAGTTAAGTGTTACTCTGTTACAGTTCTAGTAGAAAGAAGGAAAATTGTACCTGAAGGGTAAAAACAACAAGACATGATTATTTAACTTGTAATGCACCTTTTATTTTTCCCAGACTGTATTACATTAATGTGTCAATTAAAATCGTTTACTGTAATATCTTGCCGAGTGTAAGTTGATGTTTCTTCTAAATACAACATGGGGGGGGGGGGGGATATGGTAATGAAACCACCAACACATTGCAAGGTTGTTGGTAGGTTGTTCCGTGGGCCTATGAAGCGGTGGCAAGGTGAAACTCCCACAACTTACCCTTTGTAAATAAAAGAATACTCTAAATTACCACATGCTCCCCCCCAGGTGGTTCAGTGGAAAGTCTGAGAGTTTTGATAACTGCAGTACGTAGAGCACAGATAGCCCATTGTGTAACTTTGTGTTTTATAACAGACAAATTATGATATGGATAAAATGAAACCATATTTCCATTTGTTTTGTGTACTATTATGGTGATGTGTGTGTGTGTATTTGGGGGGGGGGGATATGGGGAGTCTTTAGTTATTGATTCATAAGGCCTCATAGAATGCAATGCTGGGTCTTTCATGACTTGTGGCTGCATATCAGATAGACCCGCGAGTCCCAAATGTGGTTATTTTTTCTGTATCTTGCAAGGTAATACTGAGTATCATCAAATGGGACCCTGGGCACGAAAAGTATGAATTTTATATGCCTTACAAGTTGATCCAACTGGGCACCTGGGAAAGCTGTCCCACTTATATCTACATCATTGATTATTATATATAATTTGAAGGAATTTGCAGTTAATTTGGTTAGTTGAATCAGTTATGTCAGACTTACCCAGAGCAATGACGTCATTCCTATTCCAACGTAGGGAGGTTGTGACCTCGATATTATCCGACCTACCATTTAGTGCAGATTTACAGCTGTGCCTCCCACCAGGTGTTAGCTCCAAGGATGACAAAGAACAAGAGGTACTAGGATGAAATCAACGAGTTCCATGTGTTATTCGAATACTGCACGTACTTGAATAATCCAAAATGGTACACAGGCATTCCATGCCTTTTTTATCATTTTATTTTTATGTAATAACACGTACTCCTCCCCATTTAAGGTTTGTTCTCAAGCCAACGTTAATTCTAACCCTAGAACAACCAGGATTTATAAATGCATGTTGGTCAAGGAGTACTATAACTTGCTTTGTTTCTTTCTTATAAAAATAAAAACACACAACCCTTTAACAAAGAATATAACTGTAGAAAATAAAAAAACCCGGAATAAAAATTATGAACGTAACAAAACAAAAAAAATAATAATACTATTCCAAGTCCCACTATGTACGAGGTATGATAATTGCTTTTTTTTTTCTAAATTTAATACAATATAAAAAACTAAAAATGAAATTACGATTATTTATTTCCAAAATGATAAAATGTCCTTTAACAAAGAAATGGTGTTTATTATTATTAAAGCACAAAGCTACGCAATGGGCTATCTGTGCTCTGCCCACCACGGGTATCGAAACCCGGTTTCTGCAAACATACCGCTGTGCCACTGGGGGGCCTTTAACAAAGAAATGGTGTTTATTATTATTAAAGCACAAAGCTACGCAATGGGCTATCTGTGCTCTGCCCACCACGGGTATCGAAACCCGGTTTCTGCAAACATACCGCTGTGCCACTGGGGGGCCTTTAACAAAGAAATGGTGTTTATTATTATTAAAGCACAAAGCTACGCAATGG